AGATGTTCAAAAAATTGAGTAAGAGCTTTACCTCTATTTAATCATCTTATGTCTGTGTGTAAAATAAGGTCAGATTTTGAAGAATTGCCCTTTTCTACAATTGATTTATAGATTCTGTGTGACAAAAGATTTGTTTGAATTTTGTTGATTATTTTTATAACTAAATTCATGACATGCTCAGAGGATAATATTTTAGCTCATAATGCTTCCTGGTGAATAATGCAATGATAATTCATGAAGAACATGAAAATTTCATCTCTTTTGTAATGATAGACGACGAGATATGAATCCATTATTTCAGCCCACAATTGATGGAGCCCCATCAGTAATTATTGCTGATATCTTTTGTAAAGACATTAATTTCTTTAGCTTAATTTTTAAACCAAGAGCACGCATTGGGTCTGATGGGCATACACGATTAAACAAACGTTTCTCAAAGCACAGCTATTTTATTCAAATTGTTAAAGTCCAGTGTAGTCGTGTCTGAGGTCGACCTCTTTATGTTTCTGAATATTTTTTACTGGGGCTTTGATTCGGAGTCTTGATTTTGGTTCAGGTCTTTTAGACCCAGCGTGCCTATTCATATTATTATTACATAGTTGAATTGTGATAATATAGAAAGCAGCAAACATATCACATAATTTATCTTACTAGGAAGAAATGCTGCAAAGGTTCTTTAATGCATCAATTGATGTAGAATATATTGAAGAAAATGAGAATGGAAGTGATCATGAATATTTAGTTCATATGATAATGATTCTCAGAAACAGATAACATAAATTGCTTTATTGGAAAAAAATTATCGGGAACGATAAAAAATGAAGCTTTTGCTCAGCGAAAAAGCACACAAAAGCGAAAACACTTTGGGCAGAATATGAAAAATATTTGTATGTGGAACACACAACACTTTGTACAAAGTACTGCTAACATTTGTTGCATTTTTTCTCGGTGTCTATAGTGGTAATGAAGAAAATAAAGAATCGATACAGAGTAAACAATAGAGCTAATAAAGTGGTTGCAGTACAATATTTTTACGACTTATATTTTATTTCTAAAAGTATTATGAATCTCCTGGCCACACAAAAAAATCGTAGTGGGCCACTGGTTGGCCACAGTTGATATAGCATGTAGCAGACAGTCACGGGTGCACAAAAATAACTTCACAGTCACAGGGTTTAAGAACTTCTGCCCTACATGTTCTATAGTTATCGTTATCAGTGTGCTTGCTTCTCGGTTTAGAACCTGAACAAGAAAGCACTTGCTACTTTCACAGCATAACCTGCCGAATATCCACTGTGTTGTGGAAGTACCCTGCCAGTGTTATTTTTTCACCGCACAGACAAACTTTTGTCAATTTTATCTGTTTTTCTAGTTAATTGTTGAAGTAAATCTGGTGAAAAAAACCCTCTCTCATAAAATTGTTCCAGTCAGTCGTGGTACTTTGACACATGTTGAGCTGTTTATTGCACCACTTAAGTAACATCAGTTCCTCTCTCCAACAGTAGATGAAATGTTAGGCATGGTATTCTGGAAACACTAAATCAGTTGTCAGAATGCTCTTTTTTGTTTACAACATTTCATGTTCCGCCTCCATATAGTTGTTTCATTTACATATAATTATTTAATTTTAATTTCATTTAGTGGCCATTTACGCATATTCAATTGTGAGGCAATGCATTTTTTCCCCCCTGGATAAAAGATATGGCATTTTCCTCACTTCTAAAAAAATTAAAAATTTTTAACAGTTTTTATAATGTTGAAATTGAGAAAAAGACTAATTCAATATTATATTATGCTGTTTATCAAATTCGGCAAATAGAAGTTGAAAATGAAAGTGAAAGTATCATTTTTTATATGTGTTTGAATTGAAAAAAGACAATTATGACATCGCGTGTTTTGTAAGATATGGCAAATAGAAGTTAAACTGAAAAAAAGACAGTTGTGACTTCGCATGGTGTACATATTTGGCACTCTATAGCGGGGGCGTAAAAATCAAATAAGTACTGAATTTCCTCATTTTTGAAGTTAATATTTATGTAGATTAAAGTTGTTCATATATTTATTTAAATTTTTATTATTGCATCAAACTATGCATTTTAATGAAAAGTAAAACTGTGTTTGTATTGACTCATGTTGGTAATCCTGAAAATGAACATTTGGCAAAATTTTAATGGCAGTAACATTTAAATAGTGATTCATAGTTTGGTACTAGCGAACTTTGAAATGCTTTTCTAATGGGAAAATGCAATTAAATATCATTAATATTATAAACAATACTTTTGCTTAAAATATTAAACCCATATCGCATTGGCAGACATGGGAATGTCACATGCAATGCTTCTTAGAAATGTTTTCTTTCAGAATAGGTACTGTAAACTGAATAGGTAATTTAGTTTAGGTACTGTTCTGTTATCAGGACCGGATTCAGGAAATATATGAATATATGCATGTGTGTGTATGTATATATGTGTATAATCTTAAATCCATTTAGTGCGAATACAAGTTATTACTTGCGCAATTGCTGCAAAGTTAGTTAATAATAATTTATTTCCTAAACAGTATTGATTAATTGATTATATTATCTCCTAAGTTTAATTAAAGTAGAATTATTTTAAAAGTGTGAATCCATACTGGTAAGTTATATTTTGAAAGATGTTTTGAAGTAATTTGAAAGCAAAATGTTAATAATGTTTTAATGGGGACTGGAGTTATATTATCACAAAGAATAAAATTTCAATTGTAAAAGGAAAAATTAAAACATGTAATCATTGTCATTGATCGGAAATTAGTTGACTTTTCAAGGGGAACAAACCAACTCCCGTTCAATGAACAATAACTGGTAAAAATACGTAAATACAAAAGTGTTTCGTCTTTACTCGAGTTATAAGTTAAAGCCAAACCAGCAGTTCTAGTCAGGGCAAATATTTCCGCGAATAGAAGGAATTATGAACCAATGCTGATACTCAAAGAACTTATTCTTATGAAGCATTTTAGTCAATTCACTTTGGAGTAAAAATCAATTACTGTAGAGAAATCCTATTTAACTCGAGTAATCGTCACCGACACTTTCATGTTTATGCATTTGAGTACTATATATTGGAAATTGTCATTATGAAATCAAATTCAAAGTAAAGTTGAAATAAACATAGAAGATTATAAAAAAAGATAAATAATGCAAACTTTGTAAAAACAAATCAAGACAATATAAAAAATAATACAAAAAATAATATAGAAAATAATATAAATAAGATCATGTGAATGTTAATGAAGATATAAAGGCCAGAAAAGGTATTAAGTACTTACATTCTTTCTAGTGGGGAGTTGGAAAGTGTTCTCTTCTTCAGCCTGGCTCAGTAAAAGTAGGCGGCCAGTGCAACTCTGATTAAAAATCTAGTTATAACCACGTGCAGTGCTGATAAGCACCACGTGTTTCTGTGATTCCTATTTTCTTTCTATGTATTTTTCCCTGATGAGGAGGGACCTTTAGCTGCCCTCGAAATCGATTGAGTGTTTCATTATACCTACGCTAAATATAAGGTTGTTTTTTACGATTTTGATTGTCACATTAGCGTGTTTCTCTTCTATTCTAGTCTTGTTCTCTTCATGTCTGACTCAGAAGTGTAGGGTGTCCGAAAATTCTTAGCGGCAGTATTCACTGCCGCTAAGAATTTTTCAAAACAATTTTCGGACACCCTACACTTCTGAGTCAGACACGAAGAGAACACTTTGCCAACTCCCCCACTAGAAAGAATGTAAGTTACTTAATACCTTTTCTGGCCTTTATATCTTCATGTACATTCACTGATCTTATTTATATTATTTTCTATGTTATTTTTTATATTATTTTTATATTGTCTTTGATTTGTTTTTACAAAGTTTGCATTATCTTTTTTTATAATCTTCTATGTTTATTTCAACTTTACTTTGAATTCGATTTCATAATGACAATTTCCAATGTTTAATTTCTACAAATTATATAGTACTCAAATGCATAAACATGAAAGTGTTGGGGACGATTACTCGAGTTAAATAGGATTTCTCTACAGTAATTGATTTTTACTCCAAATTGAATTGACTAAAATGCTTCATAAGAATAAGTTCTTTGAGTATCAGCATTGGTTCATAATTCCTTCTATTCGCGGAAATATTTGGCCTGACTAGAATTGCCGGTTGGCTTTAACTTATAACTCGAGTAAAGACGAAACACTTTCGTATTTACGTATTTTTATCAATTATTGTTCATTGAACGGGAGTTGGTTTGTTCCTCTTGAAAAGTCAACTAATTTCCGATCAATGACAATGATTACATGTTTTAATTTTTCCTTTTACAATTGAAATTTTATTCTTTGTGATGATTTAACTCCAGTCCCCGTTAAAACATTATTAACATTTTGCTTTCAAATTACTTCAAAACATCTTTCAAAATATAACTTATCAGTATGGATTCACACTTTTAAAATAATTCTACTTTAATTAAACTTAGGAGATAATATAATCAATTAATCAATACTGTTTAGGAAATAAATTATTATATATGTGTATATGTATACATACTCATACTTTGTGGTTACATATAGACATGGTTACATGAACACGTACATCCATTCATACATGTATACACATGCATATATTATCTGAATCCGGTCCTGATAACAGAACCGTATCATAATTTGAATGACAGATTTCCAGCTGATACTTTATATTGTAAGACGAAAAAAAAAATACTTTTGATACTGTATTGCACTTAGATCAACTAGTGAGAAAGATGGAGGGATCACAGAATTTTACTGTGTAATTTAAGTACACTGTAGCAGTATTCCCAGAAATGTGCTGTTTGATTAGATGTGGTAGAAATTTATTTTTATATCTGATATCAACTTTGTTGTGGGAAAATTGCTGGTTTATTTATTATTTGCTAGTTTAATATTTTCATTTTGTTATTTACAATCATAGATATTGATGTAATATTTTATGAAAATAATATCTTTATTCTTTTTCAGATTGCTGATATTAAAAGAGCAAATAACCTCATAAATAGTCAAGACTTTTATGCCTTGAAACAGTTGAAAATTCCTGTAAAAAAATACAGTTTGTTGACTGAAATTTTACCTGTGATCCCAAATGAAAATAATTCACAAAGTTCTATGACTGTTGAGGAGCATAATGTAAGAACTATTAATATTGGTATTGGACCTGGTGGACGTAGTCCATCACCTGAAGAAGCAGCAGCATTTTTCAGACGAATGGATGAAGATCTTGTAAAAATTATGCTTAGCACTAAATCCCAAAAAGATTCTCTGGAAGCTGCTGCTGTTGCTCTTACTTCACCACAAATACAGCCTCTTGTTAAAGATCCATATAACACTGTTGATTGTGGAATACAGTGGAATTATTTAATTGTTTGTGTGATAGTTGTTGCAATTGTTATACCAGCTGCTATTGCCTTGTTTATATATATGCGATCATCGCAAGATCACCACCACCATCACCACCCTGATGTGTATCCCAGTGCTTCCTCTAATCAGTCTTTTGAACCCGTGACTAAATCTAGTATAAAAAAAGGATAATATTTTTTAAATTTCTAATTTAACCTATATACTGTATAAATGTACTATATGATAGTCTTCCAGTTAATTTAATTAAAACTGCAGTGGCAATAGTTTGTGCCAAATCTCAAAAATTACTTTTATCAGTACGCTAAATGCTAATTTGTTGCAAATTTACTGGGTACAAAATATTTTAAGCAAAATTTTGTATTAAATTATTCTTAGAAAAAGTTAATTATTATGCTAGATTTTTTTTAATGTAATTCAAAACTGGATAGTATTTTTATTTTATTTTATTTATTTTTTTAAATTTCAATGCAATTTATTCATGCTTGAAATATAGAAATATATGCAAAATATTTGGTTTCAAAATTTCAAGATCTATTCTTGTGGAAATATAGTTTTAGATTTCTAAGTCATTTAAAAATCATTTGTGTTAAGTTTGAAAGGCAAAGATTTTCCATAAGAAGCCTGTACAAATATTTCCCCAATAGGTAGGTCTAAAGACACATTGAATTATAAGATGCATTTGACATTTATTGTATAAGTTTTTTGGATAGATATTCTTATTTTTCTGTATATAACTTAATTTTAAATATAAGAGTCCACAGATTTAACCTCTTCGCGCCGACTGTCACGTATACGTGCCAGCAACAAACACACTTACCTACCGGCCGACACGCAGGCGTGCCAGAGGATTGTTCCGTTCTCTACCGACTGTCACGTATTTGTACCAGTACTTTGGAACGTTTTCCAAACTATAATTTCTGCCACAAGATGGCACTGTATGTCCATATGGTTTCAGATACATGTACATTAGACCTTCTACTCGAAATGAGAGAAGCAGGACTCACATACACGTGTTTTTGATTATATAAACAAACAGGAAAATAAATGTTTCCGAATAGCGTGATTTATGACGTCTCTTTAAATCGCACTTTATTCGCACGTGGTAGTTGTTTACTGTAAGTAGAGAAGTTTTATTTGCTCTAAAGCATTGGGTATTTCGGTTTGCAGTTCAATTTTTAGAAAATAATTAGATCTTGTTAGATGTGAATTCTTTGTTTTTACCGTTGCAGTGTCAAAAGCGTCGAAAATGTTTAACAGAGCATGAAATAGCAGAAATTATGCAAAATATTTCAGATATTGATTCTGAAAGATTAACTGAAAGACATTTTCCAAAACTTTGTTCAGAAGAGACTGATAAGAAAATGAGACGACGATGCTTCGTTTGTTCACATTACCGGAAAAATCCTCCAAAACGGTAAATGAGTTATTACGAGTGCAAGGAATGTAACGTAGGACTGTGTGTAGATCCCTGTTTTCAAATTTTTCATACGAAAAGAGAATTTTAAGTAATATATTTAATTTTCAGATGTATAATGTTAAAATTCATAAAATGGTGAGTAATTAAAATAAAATGTGTAAAATATGCATTTAAACAAGAAATAAGGTAATTAAAGTATATATATAAAAATATCTATAAAGCGTAAGCCATTTATATACTCTATAGAGCATTATTAAACAATGCGTTGATACTTCGGAAATTTCATGGATTTAGGCTTAGTAGCAAAAAAGCCCCTGGCCCTGCTCGCGTAAGACACTGCCGGCCTCAGAGATAAGCGCGCGTTTTCGCTACCCGGCTCGAAGGGGTTAAGTTTACAAATATGGATTTTAGTTTGATAAAATAATACAGACACTGGTAATAAAGTCACAGTAATAACTTAAAATTTGTTTTCTTAATTTTTATTTAAGAAAATGATGTAAAGTAATATATGAGCTTAAAATGGATAAAAACAAGGCTATTACTGTTATTAGTATTTGTTTTAAAGAATTAAGTTTGCAAAATAAATGTAGTGAAAATTCGCATAGATTATGTACTTGAACTGCTCGGCTTATAAATTGAGTTTTTTAGCATATGTATTTTTAATAATTTATTATTATTATTTTTTTCGCATATATAACTAATAGGAGAGCTTTTGATACATTGAGTATCTTGAACTTTATATAGAAATGACAAACATATCATTTGTGTTAATTTCATAAACTTGAATTTCAAAGTATGTCTGCTATCTAACTAGTCACAGTTAAATTTTTTATATAAACTTTAGGTATTTTTAAGTTTTTCATATGGCTAAACCAATTATTGATGCAGATTTGGTGTTGGAACCAAAGCTTTAATAAATAATCATTTTATATAAATTGTATGCTGTTTTGTATCTGTAGTTTCAATTTATTCTGTTACAAAAAATATTGTCATTTGAATATAAATATGATAACTAGAACATCTAAAAATAATACAGTTTTAAATGTATATTTGAAATATAATGGGGGGACCGGAAAGTAATGTTGTTTCTGCGCATGTCGACAACAACATGCTATGGGCAGAAGTGGAAGCAAATCCATGTCAAACACTCTTAACCAACCTTGGTCGCCCATCCAAGAACATTTAAAGCAGAATGGAAAAATAAGCAAAGGAGGTGTTTGAGTCCCCCATTATCTATCTGAAAAGAACAAAGCCAACCTATCCATCACATACAACGTATTACTTCAACAGAACCATACAGAACCGTTTTTTTGATGGTTTGATTAGTGGAGACAAAAAAATATGTCCTATATGACAATCCGAAACTCAAAAGGCAGTTTAATAGTGGTTACAAAGGGTTTACATCCTGAAAAGCTGCTTCTGGGTGTTTGATGGAGTATTCGTGGAATTGTTCATTTTGAATTGCTGAAACCTGGAAAAACTGTTAATGTAGACCTTTATTGTGAACAATTGGATTTAGTGAACCAATCTTTAATTGAAAAATATCTGGCGATTGTCAACAGAAAAGGCGTCATTCTGCAACACGACAATGCAAGACCGCACTGTGCAAGATGGACACTGGAAAAATATAATGAATTGGGATGGGATGTACTGCCTCATCCACCATATTCGCCCGATATCGCACTCCCAGATTTCCATTTATTCCGATCCCTACAACATTTTTTTAGTAACAAAAAATTTTAAAATTTGGATGATGTGCAAAATGCCATCTCAAGATATTTTACTCAAAAACCAATTAATTTCTATCGGTCTGGGATTGAAATCGGCATACTAGATGGCAAAAGGTTGCTGATAACGAGGGTGATTATATTATTGATTAAAAATAAAAACTTGTTACAAATTTATTTGTTTGAATTTAATGTGAGAAAGCGACATTACTTTCCAGTCCCCCTATTATATAGTACTTGGTAAAAACTTGATTATATGGAAAACTTGGAAAATGCCAAATGTTTGAAAATTCTGGATAGTTGAGCATATAAAAATTGCAATTTATGGCAGAAAAGCCAAATGAATAGAAGAAATTTCCTGTTAAAAAAATTAACGTTTGAAATTATATAAAAATTATATTCAGACATAAAAGCTGATGTATTTTCTGATTATTCACAACCTCTTGAAAAATATTCACTAGGCAGCACCCAATGTTAGTAAAATAAGACAATCCATAACATTGCCAAAGTATATGTATATGGTAGCCCAGGTACATGGATGCAGCAGATGAGTGTGGATTTCCATCTTCCAAATTCCTTTCCTAGCCTTTTTTTTTTTCTTTTTCAGAAATATATCATTACTTTTTTTTTTTTGAAGCTAAAACGGATTGCTGGGCACCTGGACAGAATAATAGCATGCACAAGACTTTTAGTGCCCTGCGCATTTTGAAAATGGTGATTGTCTTTCTTATATTAGCTTGCTAAAAATTAATCATCAATAAACTGACAAGTTTTGAGAGGGCTGTGAATAACCAGAAAATGCCTATAAGCCTTTAAATTTGAAAGTAAAGCATCTTAATTGCATTTTAAAATCCTATCGATCATGAAAGATGGCGAAGATGTTGTCAAAATTGTGCAAGCCATTTCAGCAGAAATTTAAAGAAATAGATTAGTTCGTAACAGATTCAAGTTACAGGTTAACATGTAAAAAAAGAAACTGCTTATAATTTTTTATATTGCTTTATCATTGTTTGCTTGTTTTCAAATGAAGTTGTATTTCGTCCTATTAACACATTCTGATCTCATGCTTATCCAGTATTTGCCCAAAATGCAGTGTTTGGTAATAGTGTCCTATACGTGCTTTATAATAGCTGTACAAGTTTCTTATTTGCATAATTTATCAGAGGGGGAAAAAAAAAATTCTAAAATATTCCAGTTACTTGAGCTGGCTGGTTAGTTGAATATTGAATAGTCAGGCTTTTACTCACAATTCTCATGGCTCTTTTTTTTTTTCTAAATAAAACATACAATATTTTATTTCATGTCGTGTTGCCACTGCTTACTTTCAAATTGTTGAGTGTGTTAATCAAAGATTAATTAAATTTTTGCAAAATGTGAAATGTAAAATTCAAAATTCAGACTTCCAGGTGCACATATTTGGGTGAAGGATAGTATTATTCAAAATTTAATTGCTCTAGGTACCATTGTTTTTTCAAAATATGAGGAACATATAGAAATACATGGAGATTCTTTATTATTTAATTTCTTTGAAGGGAATACAGCAATAGTATTTGGCAGCAAAAATTTGAAAAGTGATTTGCCACTTATAGTGGATGACACAAAATCCCATTTTGAGACTAATAGTGTATTCAGGTATCGGGCTAATAAGCTTAGTGTATTTGCTGTGAATGTGCTTAGGTTTTTAAAAAGTATTATACTAATGAATGTAATTTTATGTTTTTTTATGGAATGATAGTGAGTGGTTTTAGTTAATCATCGGTGAATAAATATATTGTTGCAAATGTTGAATTTACTCGCAGACATCCCCCTTCCCCGTTATTTTATGAAATTTTACCCCTTCAAAATTGAGATAAAAAATTATGTGGTGTATACAAAAGAAGTTTGACTATATTGTAAGTTCGGGAAATGGAATTCATGTTAAGAAATTTGAGTGAATCAAGAAATTTCATATCTAAAATTATAAAAACAGTCATCTTATTGTTGAATCAACTTGAATATAAAAAGCCTACATTAAAAATTATAAGATTTTGAAAAAAAGAATGCATTTTAGATATAAAAGCTAACATACTTCATAGGCCTTAAGAACATGAAAGTAAAACATAGTATCCTGTCATGAAATTTTGCTGAACATGAAAGTTGGCAGAGATGTCACCAAATTTATGCAGTCATTCCAGTAGAAGAATAAAGGTACAGATTTTTTTCATTTAGTTAGATAATAAACAGATACAAATTATGGATATAGTGTATAAGAAATTTAAAATACCTATCATTATTTTTTACATTGCATTTGCTATTGTTTATCCATTTTCAAATAAAGTAGTATATCATGCTTTTTTTTTTCTTCTTTTGATATCAGGATCCTGTAATTTTAAAAATATTTCTTTGCATGCTGTCCCATAAAACACAGGTCCCAAATATTAATATTATTAAATAGAACTGATACACTTCTTAACAAAAATTAAATTTGCTTTATCAGGGGTAAATCAGATTTATATAAAACAAAGGAAAAATTCAAACATCATGTTTATCCATTACTGGCACTAAATCGCACTGTTTGGATTCAATTTATGCATGCTAACAGTATAATAAGCTGTGTAATGTTATTACAAATCTTGCATTTGTTTAATATTTTTGGAGGGGGGTATTTTTTCTAAAATTTTAAGGTACTTCAGTTACTTGTTTTTTCTGTT